TATTTAGAATTTCGGAAGACAATTATTATCATTACTTCTTATTACATACAACAACTAAATAAAACTAAAAATTAGAAATAAGGGACATCTGCGAAGTCATTCAAGGTATTGTTCTTGATTTCGAACTAGTTGGATGGTATTGGTTTAAAAACAATATAAGTTACTAATTTAACAATATGCAAAGCAATACAAGTTATTCCAGACAATTCGAACAAAATATTTTGGACAATAACGTCTTGGATGTTCCAGGTGAGTTCTTCGTATTCCATTCAAGAAACAAATTAATGGCATTCCTTGTAATATTATACTTTCCATGATGTATTACTAAGGTTTTTATGCTAGTAACGGGTAAACAATGACTAAAAGTAACAAAAAAAAGTACATGAAATATACAATTCTGGACATGTTCTACGCTTTTCGGACTTAATAACAACGTTTATACATATAAAATGTAAGAACATTAATCTTAAAAACTAACATGATTTATTGAATCTGTGATAGAAAACACACAAAATATATAAGTTAGTTATTTGCTTTAAAATGCTATAAAAACTTGATTAGGGTACTCAATTTCCTTAAATATGTTAGATTTTAGGGATAACGACTTAAAATGGTAATATATTTTTTGATTTGTATACATTTGGTCATTGGGTTTTTGTTTTGTCCACATTTAACCATTTAACTTGTTTTTTGTCCACATTTAGTCCTTATAACTGGCTAGTCCATGTTAAGCCGAAAAAAATGACTTAATAGGGTAATATATTTTTCCGTTTTTACTAATGTCCTTAATTTTTTTATACACATTTAGTCCGTATGACTAGTTTGTTTAGATTTTGCTCACGACATCCTATGTGGGACAATCATTAATGAAGTGTTCTCATATGTGGCTCGTCCCTCACTTATATTAGTAACCTAATTCACGAATCGGTCAAATAATGTAGGTGTCCTACTTTTCTCCAAGCATAAGATGTCTTTGATTTCAATTTCATCTATCTCCATAGCAGACAACGAGAGTCTTTGTGATTGCTTCCTCCCAACTTGAATTTGCATTTTCGAGACAACGAGAGTCTTTGTGATTGCTTCCTCCCAACTTGAATTTGCACTTTCGAGACAAAGAATATCGTTGTCTGCTATGAAGATAGATGAAACTGAAGCCGAAGACATCTTCTGTTAAGAGGAAACTAGGGCATCAATATTATTTGATCGATTCATGAATCAGGTTACTGATATAATTAAGTGAATGACGAGCCACATATGAGAACACAACATTAATGATTGTCTCACGTAGGATGCCGTGAGCAAAATCTGAAAAAAATCGATCATAAAGACTAAATGTGTATAAAAATATTAAGGATTAAATGTATACAAACTGAAAAATATTTTTTCGGTTTAAGGTAGAGTAGCCGGTTATAATGACTAAATATGGAAAAAAAAAAACAAATTAAATGGTAAAAAAAAACCAAATATGTTCGGATCAAAAAATATATTACCAAATAAGTGATTATCCATAGATTTTACTAAAAACTTATCCCAAGAAACCCACGCATTAATTTCTTTACCCTTTGGAGCCAATTCCCTTGAGAAAGGGGATCGTAGAATCGACTACTTGATGGTGTCTACACGAACAAACACGTAGGTGGTTAACAATTTGCTAGAAATGGACATGGTGTTTTCTAATTCAACTTAATTATGATAATTGATAAGGATTATGCCATAAAAATGACAGTTAATAATATGCTATTTGCTATTTATATAATTTTTTTAATTGTTTTAATAGATCATTAATTTTGTTTGGGGTTCTTACGAAACCATTAAAATATATTTTGATTGGTATTTTTTTTTAAACGGCAAATCTAACCTACTCCTAAACTACACCTTAAATCCACCTATGTCCACGACGAGACTTGAACCCTCAACATCAAGAAGGAAGAGCAACACCCGATACCACTGAGCTAGAAGTCATTTGGTTTTTTTTGTTATATCGGATGTTACAGTGGATATAACATTAACATATGATAGTTTAAATAAACAAACTGAATACCACAATAGACGGCGTGTAAAATTTTCAATATGCGGTTGAAATCTATTTAGGGGGTGTTTGGGATAGCTTTTCAGACCAAAAAGTCCTTTTAAGAAAAGAACTTTTTGATTCATATCTTTTTCCAAAAGATAGTTTTAAAATGTGTTTGTTTAAACTTTTGAGGGGGGAAAGGGAAAAAAGGCAAAAGTTGCCAAAAGTCACAGATTCGTGACTTCTTAAAAACCTCATTTTCCTTCTTCTCAAAAAACTAATTTAAAAGATCTTTTCCAATTACCAAACAACCTTTTAAACTTTTGACTTTTTGGAAAAGCCAAAAGTTCCAAAAGTCATTTTAAAAGCAAAGTCAAACACCTTCTTAAATGATGTAAATTTCAACTTATATGATGTAATGAGAATCTAAAAAAATTACTCAACTATTATGTACTTAAAGAACAAATTGGATTACTATTGATTGTCATTTCATTAAATTTATGATAAATAGATAACAAAACCATACTTCATGAAGGGTTGACGTCAATTTCAAATACACATCCACTCATGTCTTTGTAGTACCATATTATCGTATAGTTATTCTGTTTCTATTCACAATTAATGTTGTCGGCCCCAACAGTCTCAAATGTAGGTAAGGTTACTAATGATTTTTATCAAATGAGTAACATCAAAAATAGAAAAAAAACACGATTAAGCAAATTTATAATCGTCAATTGTATACTTAACAAAAAAGCTTATTAGTTACGCATTTGAATTCTTATAATCATATCAACTATAACAAAAGGCTTAAATAAAGTCACACAATTATTCCGCAAGAAGATATTGACAAAATCAAGGAATTTTACATAAACATTTGTATAACATAAATATTATAGTATTAGTTGTGAAACTCATGTATTACAAACAAACAAACATAAAGATTTAACAATTTAAAAAAAATTAAATTTATAAGAAAAAAAGAAAAAAAATTAATTATTAAAATGGAAATGCTTATTTATCTTTTAAATTTAAACTAATAATTTAAATCAATAAACAAAAATAATTGGATTCAATTTAGAAATTATAAGGAAAGTTGAATTAATGAATTGGATACATATTTATTATTATTTTATTACATTTAAGTATTATATGAAATTAAATAAAATGAAAGAAACCATAAAATGATATATAAATATAATTTAATCTAAATTTACCACAAAATGACATGTAATATAATAGTTAAAAAGATAACAAGTTACAAAATTATTTTCATTTATCAAGGAGGATTTTACAGAATATCCTAACTACTAAGAGACAAAACATTTTAATTGTTATGCGACAAAGAAAATTTACCTTTTATTATGTACGATTGATAAATATTTTATTAATCAATTTTTTTATATTTAAGCCATGTGGAATATTATCCATGAGATATAAAAAGTGACAAGATGTAATTAAAAGGGAGCCATAACATTAGAAAACCATTCATAAATCAATCCTTTATAACCCCAAAGTTACGCATTTATACTCTTTCTCCCCTTTTTCGACACATCAATTTGTTCTCCCACTTTTCCCTTTTGATTGTTTATATTTCAAAATATTTCTTAATCCAAATTCTTATCATTTTCAAAACCCATTTCATTGAGTATTGCAATTAGGACTATAAACCAGACAATCGTTTTTATCCAAGGGACACAAGTCAAAACTCTTTTATGCAGTGATTTGAAGATTGTATGAAAATATAATTACATAAATAATTTTTAATTTTACTTTAAATCTGAAAAAAAAATTAATCAAATCATCTCTGCACCTCTACAGTATACATCAATGTGTTGATGTATACATAAAACAGGATGGTTTTCGGAAAGATCTTTGATATTTTCGTAGGATCATGTAACCACTGTCCAATTTTGATATTTTGCTTCTTATACTTAGACTGTGTTTGGGGCGCCACAGCTAGCTTATTTTTCGAGTTTTTTTATGTTGTTGTGTTTGGTAAGCCAAAAAGTAGCTTTTAAGCTAGCTTTTTGAAAAGCTACTTAGACTAGCTTTTTAGAAGCTTTTTAAAAATTTTTCAAATACACCCCTTAATTAATTATAGAAACACATACTCTTATATGTCATTTTATGTAATTTTATATATTTCAGCTAGCTTTTCAGCTAGTTTTACCAAACGTTATTTTTTATCAGCTAGTTTTTTATTTAACAGCTAGTTTTTCAGCTAACAGCTAGCTTTTCAGCTAGTACGCCAAACATAGCCTTAGGTTTACACGAAATTCAAATTCATAGTTATCACCAAAATGTATTGGTTAATAAGTTTAAATGTTTTATTACATCCATAAATGGATAGGGATGACAGATATGAAAAATTACTAGAAGTTATATGCTAGGGGTGCTGCCCCTAGGAACCTGCAAGGGTGCAACCCTCTTGACCCCCTGCCATCTTGATCGTACCGAGAACAAATTCATCTTCGACATGTGTTCACTTCCCATTCCAACTTGTATAAAATCAAAATTTGAATTCCAATAATAATTTTGTCTATTCCGTTACACTAAATCAGCAACAAAATGGGACCTAAATGGATAAATTTAGGATGCAAAGAGTAATGTATTAGAATGATATACCGGAGAACAATTCGTTAAATATGATAATTTAGGTTTAACTCAAAATATTCCACTCAGTAGTACTTGTACTTGCATCATAATCGAAATTGCTTAATTCGCATCATGGAATATGCTTTTCATATTGTTTTTCAAGTTTCCTCGTCTTATCAAAGTAAATAGGGATTTAAACAAAGGCTTTTCAGATTTGAGGCTATGGATTTATTCTTTAGTACGAAACCACAAATGAAACAAAAAAACCCATTATTAACCTTACTTCGAGGACTTGTACCTCATGCTAATGCATGTTGTACCTTTGCATCTATATATGCTTCCCTTTCTCTTATGTAATTTTCAACGCACAGCACACACAGTACAAGGATCAAGGATGGGACAGCAGCTGGAAAACACAACACCAATGGAGTCGTTGAGGTCGTCGACGTCGTGGCGGTTGGATACGCCGTTGGTTTATTTATTCTGTGGGATAGGTGCCATGCTTGCTCTCATACTGATGGCTTTGATAATGTTGGCTTGTTCTCAATGGAGGACCCAATCAACAGCTACCGGCGCCGGTGACGATATCGAAGGTGGTGATGAACACCCTCAGAAGGTGGCTCGGTATGTGAGCAACGCTGGTGATGAATCTAAAGTCAGCCCTGAAATTGTCGTCGTTATGGCCGGAGACCAACTTCCGAGTTACTTAGCTGCACCTGCTCCTGTCCCCGGCTGCAGCGGCACAATCACCCATCTCTCCGACCGGTCTCGCTAGATTCCTCCGTCAACAATCTTTGTTGTTTTTTCATCTCTTTCGTATTTTCCCGGAATTATTGTATGTAATCAATGAGATTAATAAATCAAGTTATGATTAGGTGTTCACTTGTTTGGACTATATCCATTTTCATCCGCTGTCTGATTCACCGGAAAAAGTGTTCAATGAAGCATAAAAACAAGGATTTTTACGGTGGAGCAAATTCTGGGATATCTCGTGAAGAGTTCATGAGTCTCGAGGAGAGTGGTGGAAAATATGGTCGGAATGATCCCATGCAGTTGAGACTGCTGAACTGAAGGAATGCAGCAAACGCAGATGGTATGAATGTCGGTGAAAATTGGCATTTTCCATTAGGGATAAGAAAGACATTTTCTTTTGTTGTTTGCTCTTTCTACACTTGCACTTGGCACGATATATCGAAATTGTTTTTTGCTCTTTCTACACTTGCACTTGGCACAATATATCGAAATTTTAGGGCAGATTACTGTATTCATCGACATAATATGCTATATACATAAATGTATTTTATTGTTTATTTATTATAATTAGTGTTGTATTTATATTAATAATAACAAAAAGCAAATACCATAAAACCCACAACATTTTCCCGCATAATTGAAAAAAAAAATTTGTTAGCTTTGGCCACAAATGGAACGTAGAGTTATCACTCTAGCCCATTTAATCGATTTCATGATTAACTTCGTTATTTTTTTTGCAAAATCAGTCCTAAAATTAGATTTAAAGTTCAAATTTAGTCTCTGTAGTTTGCAAAAAATAACTCATGTCCAAAACTCGGTTTTATGTTTTTTTAAATTCTTTATTTTTTCATTTATTTTTTATATTTTAGTCAAAACTAAACTTGATTTTATATTTTTGTTTCATTTTTTTAATATTTTTCGTATATTTTTTGTTTTTCGTATTTTTATATTTTTCGTATATATATATATATATATATATATATATATATATATATATATATATATATATACTTTATTTATTTTCGTTTTTATATACTATTTTATATACATATATTTTACACTTTTCGTATTTTTAATTTTTTAATTTTTTAATTTTATTTTTCATGAATTTGATAGTTTTTTCTTGATATTTTTCAAAAAGTGTAAAATGTATCCACATATTAGAGCATATTATAATTTTGGTGTTTCGGTTTTTTTGGTATTCTATTTTTTTTTAAATTTTGGTAGCTTATGGTTTTTTAATTTTTTTTAATTTTTATTTAAGTAAATAAAAAAGTTATATTTATATTTGTAAGTTTGGCCTAACTTCTTTTATTTATATATTTTTGTTCTTTATTTTTGTTCTTTTATTATATTTATGTTATGAAAAAAAAATCAAACAACTTGTTTATTGAGAATTAATGTTTCAAAAAAACGGAAACACTAAAATTGTAATATACTCTAATATGTTAATACATTATATACTTTTTAAAGAAGGTCAAGAAAAAGTCATCAAATTCATGAAAAATAAAACGAAAAAATGAACAAATTAAAATACGAAAAAAATAAATAAAAAATAATACGAAAATAAATACGTATAAAACTAACAAAAATACGAAAAGTGTAAAATATATTAATATATATATATATATATATATATATATAATATATATATATATATATATATATATATATATATATATATATATATAATACGAAAAATATAATAAAAATATAAAAATACAATAAACGTAAAAAAAACAAAAAAAAGGAAAAAAATATGAAAAATATTAAAAAAAACAAAAAAATATATAAAACCAAGTTTAGTTTTGACTAAAAAATAAAAATAAATAAAAATAAAGAAGTTACAAAACATAAAACCGAGTTTTGGACATGTGGTGTAATTTTTTGCAAACTACAGAGACCAAATTTGAACTTTAAGCCCGATTTTAGGACTGATTTTGCAAAAAAGATAACAGAGTTAACCATGAAACCTGTTAAATAGGCTAGAGTGATAACTCTACGTTAGGGGTGAGCATTTGGACCGAACCGGACCGACTTTTGGACCGGACCGGTTTCGGAGAATATTGTGGACCGTGGACCGGACCGGATGAGACTTACCGGGTCCAAGTCCAGGTCCGGTTTTTCTGGTTTTTAGACATGGTTGGACCGGTACAACTTACTTGCATAGAGTACAAGTCGTTAAAATAAGTTTTTTGGGTGATACACCTTGTTAAAACGAATATGTTGTTGGGTTTGATACGTTACAAATTGTAAAAATGAATACGTTTTTGGGTTTGATACGATATAACTTGTAAAAATGAATACGTTTCTGTTTCGTGCATAATTAATCTACCTTGATGATTTAATCTATAATATTATAACTTGCAAAATTAATTTTCCAAATAAAATCAACTAACATAAAAATCAAGTTCACCAACAAAAGTTAACTATCTTAACACAAACATACAAAAGTATTACCCTAACTAGTAACGGAGCTTGAACCTTTGAGTTGGGGGCCGAAAGTATAATAAGTATAAAAATTGGAAAACAGCGGGGGCCACAATCAATTTTTTTATTCTTAGGCCTAATATGTAAAATTTTCAATAGTACATGGACTAGTTTAAAAAAAAAAACAGGGGGGCCACAACCCCCCTAGCCCTTAAGAAGATCCGTCCCTGACCCTAACACCAAAAATCATAGTTTAAACTTTAAAATCAATCAAACTAACAAACTTCATAAACTCATAATCTAATCTTCCATTGGCCTCTTCCCCATATCATTGTCATCCAAATCTAACATGTTTAAAGCTTGTACAATCTCTACATAAACACAAATGAAAATGTTGTTAGTATTTAATAAAAAGTAGTAATTGTATAAAAAAAAGAACAAAGATTGTAATTTTTTTTACCCAAAGCTATTGTTGGATTAGTGTCTAAGCCCGTAACTATATTTGGTATGTATTTGATCCGGTTGTGCGTGGTCCTTTTGGGTTGCCTTTACCAAAGCAACATGATAGGATGATTTATCAAGTGAGAGGTTATTATGGTTTATTAATATATTATATGAATAATATATTAAAGGAGAAATCATATAGTTTTAATTAATATTAGACAAGAATTAATTAGGAATTAATTATGTGGCTAAAAGACATTAATTAAATAACGGGCACTTAAACTGTCAAATGTGTGATGGTTGAGTATTGGGCTGAGAAGGCTTATGGACTAGGCTTGGACGAAATTAGGGATGTGTCCATCTTAATTTCGGCCATAGAGGCCTTATTCCAGAAGCTTCCTTGGATTGCTTAAGGCCTAAGTTATCCATTAGGGTTTTGACTGAAACCCTAGCAGCACCAGTATAAATAAGACCCCAAGGCATCCAATTTTCGGCTACTTGAAACCCGAGAAGAGTTCATAGCCGAAATTCTGCCCATCCCCTCTCTCTCAATTAGCATCCTCTTGTTTGTGGTGTCTGTAAGCTGTGACATCCCCATTTTCACGGCCAGAAAAGACCGATTTTGTTTATGCTTTATAAAAACCAGAGTACTTTTAACAAAAAATGTTGCGGAATTTGTTCTCAGAAAACATGATAAACATGTAGTTTTATTCATTTTCAAAACATTGGGATGTCATTGTCAATATAGAAACGTAAGCATAAACAGAACTTACATTTATTTACACTAGTGATCTACATCTCTTTTAAATCTCTCAGTGTAAAGTAGCTTCGTATCGATACCTGTGATACAAATAAGCTTGAGTGGGTCAGGTTGAGAAACCTGGTGAGTACATAGGGTTTTCAACCCACAATAATATAATTATTATGTTTAAACAACAAACAATCAACCCCATTTACCCATCCCCATTATCTTCCTTACTCTCCAGGGTCTACCCTAAGAGTCATCTATTCGTTTATTTCGAAGTCCCTTGCTTCCAGGGTTATAAGGCCGACACTAAGTCCATAGCTGCCAATGCACTAATTCCATAGCTGCAAAACTTCCTTCATCGGGTACTAAATCTATAGCTACCAGTGTAGGTACTAAGTCCATAGCTACCAACATTTATCTAACAGGTACTAAGTCCATAGCTACCAGGTACTAAATCCATAGCTACCAACACCTAACAAGTACTAAGTCCATAGCTACCTATGTTTACCTAATAGGTACTAAGTCCATAGCTACCATCGTTTGTCCAATAGGCACTAAGTCCATAGCTGCCGGTGTTTATTTATTGGGCACTAAGTTTATAGCTGCCAATGTTTACTCACATCATCTTTTATCTCTCATCATTCATCTACCCATGTTATACCCAACATATTTGTAGATATAAAATACGTATACAGTTTAAATCAGTTAAAATATGTATAAAAACGTTCATCCAGCATAGATAGCAAGTATACAGATAATATGCACACATAGCACGTAATTTATATTAAATACTTCATATCTATGTGTAAGATGAAAGGGACTATGCACTCACCTGAAAGGTGGTGACTCGGAACTCGGACAACGCTTCGTTATCTCAAAACAATTTTCCCTTGACAAAACCTAGTATCAATACCACTAGGGTTTAGTCTAACGTTAACCGAGACTAATTAATAGTCTAGCTATTATTATTATTATTATATAAGCGTTAAACAACACTATATAACTCATAATAATAGCCCAAGTAATTATTATAAGGTCCTAATAACATTACTATATTAAAACATAAGCTATACTAAAGATAGGTTAGGCGTAGCGCACTTACAATGAGTTTTTCTCAAAACCGGGCTTCGCTGGAGCAGCGTTTCTGAGCCGAAAGGCTCTTTTCTCGGGACTCCGGGAGCCTCGGGGCTTCCTTCGGGTGCTAGGGGGTTTACCTAGACTTTAGGGGGGGGGGGATTTGGGTGTAACGCCCGCAGATTCGGGCTAATCAATTTAGAGACGGTAAGCGTCAAAAATGAATTTTTAATAGAAGATTATTTAGAATGAATAACCTTAACCAAGTCATAGTATATGTTACAAGGGTTCCGTACATATAAAGAATGCCGAAATCCAAGTTATAACGAAGAAGTTATGGCTCGTCGAAGTTTTACGGCAAAACCGGCACGGCACCGGGAGACGTAAATAGTGAATTTACGATAGAGGACTTTTTGGCCTTAGTAATCTAAACAAAAGTTGCAGTATACGTTAAACCGAGAGCGTGCATAAAAAGAACGCCCAAATCTGACTTCGTATGAGGAAGGTATGAATTTTCTAAGATTTGGCATGACAGTGCACGACCCGAAACTCGAATTTTAGATCGAGCGGTTTTTGGCCTACACGACCTAAATTGAAGATCTCATTAATAGGAACTCAACGG